TGTGGGGCTCAATCCCAGGACTCTCAGATCACGACCTGAGCCGAAGGCAGAGGCTCAACCCACTGAGCCACCCAGGCGCCCCGGCTCTAACAGTTCAAAGCATCCAGTCATGTCAACTCATTACAGTCTTACTGTTCTTCCACTTATTGTGATTCCAGCTTATCTCTAAATATGTTCTTACAATTGAAAATTCTTGGGGCGCCTGGGTGGCTCAGTGGGTTAAAGCCTCTGCCTTCAGCTCAGGTCATGATCCCAGGGTCCTGGGATCGAGCCCCACATCGGGCTCTCTGCTCAGCAGGGAGCCTGCTTCTCCCTCTTTCTCTGCCTGCCTCTCTGCCTACTGTGATCTCTGTCTGTCAAATAAATAAATAAAATCTTAAAAAAAAATAGGAAATTCTCTGTCTACATCCTGAGATTTCTTTGCCAAAATATGTAATGTCCAGATTAAATCCTGAGAAATAATCCTAGGGTTTAAGTAGTTCCAGGGGGGATAGAGAAATGGTTTAGGAGAAGGTTTAAATAAATAGGCTGGAGAATGAGCCTGATAGAATCTAGGAGTAAAAAGAAAGATTTTTGTCAGGCTTAAGTACTTCAGAAAGTCACTACAGTATCATAGAAATGGCGTGTTTTGGAGACAGCAAAGCTGGGTATGAATCAGACGTCGGTTTATTCCATAGTTGTGAGAATACAGAATACGGATCTTTAGTGTCCTTACTGATAATGCAGGAATAATAATAATTATTTCATTGGATTCTTCTGAGAATTAAATGATAGAACACTGAAAAACACCTAGCACAGTGCTATCATAAGTTAGGCACTAAAAACAAAGTAACAGGGAGCCTGGGTGACTCAGTGGGTTAAAGCCTCTGCCTTCTGCTCAGGTCATGATCCCAGGGTCCTGGGATCGAGCCCCACATGGGGCTCTCTGCTCAGCAGGGAGCCTGCTTCCCCCACTCTCTCTGCTTGCCTCTCTGCCTACTTGTGATCTCTGTCTGTCAAATAAATAAATAAAATCTTAAAAAAATTTTTTTGAAAACAAAGAAACAAAACATACAGAAGGGACTGTACATTTAAGATGAAGATACTCGCAACAGGCTCACATTTCTCAATTTAAAAAATAGTTTTGGTTGATGTTCCTTGAAAAAAAGAAAAGAAAAAGAAAAAGTCATCTGAAACTCCTAAATAATAATTCTGTTAGAATACGGACTAAAGTTTTGAAAGTATAAACTGAGAAAGATACGTTTATCTAAAAGCTGGCATGGCATAGGTTGAACCTCTCCCAGACCAAGCCAAGGGAATAGGGCAGGAGCCAGTGTGTTTGGTTTTGGTATGGTATATCAATGATCTCATCCACGGGATTCCCAGGAGTTCATTCAGAGTAGGTTCGACACTAGTGGTAAACAAAAAACTGTTGCTAAAGACCTGTAACAGCCCTGGGAAGTCATCAACAGGCCTTTATAAAGAATACACTGAAAGCCAGGCTAATGCACCCATTAGAGATCGAAAAGCCGGTAGAGACATTGGAAGCAACCATACTGGTTTCTCTTCCCCACTTGTGTATCTTGGTAGCATGAAGACTTCTTTATTTATTCATTTAAATTTTTTAATTTAAAAAACTTTTTTAGTACTAAGACTTTTATATCAGGCCTTTGTGAGATTTATAAACAACAAACTGGGAAAAGAAGAACTTGTGGACATGTAGCTGATTAGCATTTTCCTATGGAAGGTTTACTCCCAGGGGTTCAGCAGTCACATGAAAGGCATTAGTCTAACCTTCCATACCTGCCTTACCAAAGCTTTTCACCAAAGAGCTTGGTTTAATCCTATTTCACAATGGTGGAAAGAACAACCTGCAGCTACCGTCCCGGTGGGCAAAGGATTAGGGACTCAGATGGACTTTGGGAGGTGACTCAGTTTCTCAAGCCTTCTGAGTGTCTTTATGGCCAGAGGCATATTGTGGAGCTTTGGAGTATGAATGTGAGTAAGTCGTGGTCCCTGCCCTTGGATAGCTCATGGTCTAATGTCACTGTTAGGTGAGACAGACACGGAGAAACGTAACATGCTCTATAAAGTGGTAAATGTAAATAGAGATACGGAAGTATAGAGGCACAGGTAGGCTGATTTGAAGATTCCACAGAGGCTTCGTGAAGGATGCAATGCCTCAGCTGACTCACCGGGATCTGAGGAGTTTGCCGCTGGAAGCTAAGTGACTTGGGTGGTGGCATTCAGGGTGGTGGCATGCTACGCAGGGGCCTGTGTGAAGTCATGGAATTGTATCATCACACTCTGGTAGGGTAAAACCTACCACGGGATGTGCTAGAAAAGGGACTAGAGAAGCAGGTAGTGGCCAGGTCATAAAAGACTATATGTACCATTAAATATCTTGGCTTTATTCTGTAAGAAATGGAGAATATTGAAGAGTTTTTAGGAAGGGAGTGTTGTGGTCCACTTTGCATTTTAAATACATCTTTGTGATACCAATCTAGAAATTGGATACGAAGTAGCAAAGGGAGATAATTAAGAAGCTATTGAAATGGTTTATGCCAAAGATGCTAGGAGCCTAAAGAGGAATGAAGTAGAAAGAGTGAAGGGGAATATAGTTTCAATTAGATTTGAGGTACAACTGGCAAAAATTAAACCAAATGAACATAGCCATTCAATAAAAGTATTTTAAAGGAAAGAGCGTAACTCAGCAGGTGCAGATGATAAATTCAGTTTTGAACATGTTAGGGCTGTAACGCTGAAAGAAAATATCCCAAATAGTTATATACAGCAAGCATTTGAATCATGAGAGAGGTCCCAGGCTAGAGATAAAATATTTCAGATCCTCAGCAGACACATAATAGTCAAACAAAAAGAACTGTATTACCTAAGGAAAATACATTCATTCATTCATTGATTCACTCAACAAACAATGGTCACCTGTTGCATGACCGACACTTTTTTAAGGTTGTCATTAAAGTAGTAAACAAAATAGTTCGGGCTTCTATGGAACACAAATTCTATAATCCAGACTGGGGAGAGCACTGGGGTTAGGAAGCAGTGTACATGGAGGCAGAGGTCTCAAGGAGACTAAGAAAAGAAGAAGACCAGAAGTAGGCTCCTAGGAGTTAAGGAAAGAAAGAATGTTAGAGAGTCAACAATGTCAAATATGGCAGAGACGTTTACCTAGATAAGACTTAAAGTGTTCATTGGGTTTGGAAATATAGAGGCCATGCTGACCTGGAACAAAGCAGTTTTAATGGAGTGTGGGGCATAGATCAGATAGCAGGGTATTTAAGAGCTTGAAGAAAATTGGAGGCACTGAATATAAAATACATTTAAAAGAGATTTGGATGAGAATTGAAATATATAAGATGGAAGCTAGAAGGGAAAGGACTGTACAGAGATCTTGATAACTTTATCTTTTGTCCCAATTTTGCATTTCCAGTAGATTATATACATCTTTATCTTAATATTCCACCAGTAATACACATTTTACAACTAACTAAAGCCCTATTTTTGTATATGCTCTCACTATTCCTACATACCCTGGCTTTAAACTTTGCCTCCTATCCAGAAATTTCATGTTTAACCATTAGAAGGACCTGCCTTCTTTTTTTTTTTTTACACTTTCTTTTTTAAAAATTTTTAAAAATTATTTTATTTATTTATTTTATTTTATTTTTATAAATTAAATAAATATAAATAAAATAAATAAAAATTATTTATTTATTTGAGAGAGAGAGAGAGTATGTGAGCATGCTTGTGCATTCATGAGCAGGAGGGAGGAGGAAGAAGAGGAAGGAGGAGGGAGCAAAGGGAGGAGAAGGAGGAGGGGAGAGAGTAGGGACAGAGCGGGAGGGAGAAGCTGACTTCCCACTGAGCAGGAAGCCTGATGGTGGGACTTGATCCCAGGAACCCAGGAACCCGAGATCATGACCTGAGGCTAAGGCAGGAGCTTAACCAACTAAGCCACCCAGGTCATCCTTTTCTTCACTTTCTTTTGTCCCCACTCTACTGCAGAGCCCCTCTGCTCCAACCTTTAGTACATGGTTGATTTTGTCAGCCTAACAAAAGTCCTCTCTACTCTTGTGTTTTTGCTTAACAATCCATCCTAGCCATCACTGCCAAAATCATCTTGCTAAAATACATTCCTATTCATGTTACTCCCGGATCTAAAGGCTTTAAAGGCTTTACCGTGCCGACCAAGTTAAATGTAAACCCACTAACCTGGTATTCACATTTCTCCATAATATGGTTTCAATCAAACTTCTTATATTTATTTTCTCTAAACACTTACCCTGAGATCCAGTCAAACTGGCTTGATCACTGTTTCCTAAGTTTGATGTTATTCCCACCTTGGACACGAATTCTCCTCTATTTTGTCCAAATTTTATCTTTCCCTTAAATCCCAGTTCAGTTTTCTCCTTCATCATTTTTATTTTTTGCCAGAATCCCTACATTTCATGTATCCTTTTAACGACTTTGCATTGTAGATACTTGTAAACTATGTTTACATTCTCAACTATATTTTAAGACCTATGAGAACAGAGAACATATTTAGCATGTTTTATTTTCAGTATCTTGCAGAGGGCACAGTGGTTGTTCAATACATGTTTGGTAAATGTATGTGAACTCCCAAGGATATAAAAATATAAAATTTTGGATCTCAAGATGACCTCAGAGATGACACGGTCAAACTCTTTTATTTTACAGATGAAGGAATTGAAGCTAAAAAATGTCAAGTGACTTGTGCAAGTCACTTGGCTGGTCAGTGACAAAACCATGTTGCAATCCTACCCCTTGACAATCAGTCTAGTCCTCCTTCCACCTCATGACAGCACCTGTTTGGGAAACTTCAGTGGAGCCTCCATTTTTGTCATTGTTGTCCCTGACTCCTTGGTCCCTGGCACCCTCATTAGTGTTAAAGGCAAAGAGCCCTTTCTAGGCTCACAAGTTCATGAATCCATAACCTAAGGAAAAACAGGAAGAAGCCTCCAGCAGCCCACCCAACTTACCATGCGAAAGAGGGAAATGGTGTTCCCGGTGATGTTGTAGTGGGCCAGAACTTCAGAATCGGTGCTGATTCCAAAGGACACGTCTTGGAAGTTTTGCACCATACTATGGAATAGGGACACTGCTGGTATTTCTAAATCCTAAGAGCAAGAAGAAAAAAAAAACCCCACAGGGATTATGTTGGAGAGGAGAGAAATAGAGAATAAATGTGCTCACTCTTATTAAAAAAAAAAAAATCATAGACTTGATTTCGTATCAGGTGAAACAGCACTTACCTCCAAGACTGCAGGCTCAATTCACAGTGGGATTGTTGAATTTCCCAGGCTGAGTGGGCTAATAGGTAGCTACAAAACTGTAGCTCAGCTTGAAACTCCTGTCTGGCCTTATCATAAAGCTTGTAGTTTATTAGCAGAGAGGGACCCACAAATCATACAGGCCTGCAGAGTTTTCCTACATTGTCATTGACCACCCGAGGAGGCAAAAGTTTTGGAAACAATTTGTGGAGGAAAGAAGAAATGCAAAAATAGAAATAGGAGCTGTCAAAGGGCCAAAAAGGGGGAAAAAAAAGCATAAAGGAAATTAAAATGGAAGCCTAGAAGTTTTATTAACAAAGGTTTGTGTGGGATGTGGAAGAATGGTCATCTTTCCCTGCATTAAGCCTGAGATAGTGCCCGTGAAGATACTGTTCCTGTGTTGTTCCAACTCTAGAAAGGCCTGCAGGAGGGAGCAGGGAAGCCACATCTGAGTAAGGATTCCAGCCCTTCCATGACAAGCTGGCATCATTTTCCCTGCTGTCAGAGGACCTTTGCCCAGAGCAGCTCCAAGCAATGAACAGGAGGGAGAATATCCTTTCCTGACATCTTTCTGGCCTTAAGGAGGGGAAGTGCAAAAAAGAAAAGACACTGACTAGCCTTGCCTCTGGGGTCAAGCAGAGGGAGTTGGTATCTTGCTCCTTGGAGACGGTGTATGGAGTTCATTCGAGGCTATGAACAAGTGTTAATCTAGCACCCCCCACTTTTAATTCTCCTTAGCATGGAATTACTCATGGATCAAATGACCAACGGCATCTGGTGGCTGCTTAAGTTATTGCAAATTCCTCCACTCCCACTTTCATTGCCTTCCCGAGGGTGGCTGTTGTGGTCTCCAGCTCTGATTTCTCATTGCTAAGAAATGGGCTCCCCGCCTTCCTCCCCACCTGCATGTCATTGCAGCCATTTCCGGCTGTGTACCCAGAATCGCCAAGGTGATGGCGTGTTGTAACTAATTAATGGAAATGGATAAGAAGGTCTGCAATAAGAGCAGGGGCTTGATCAATGAGAATAACCAGATGTTACCTTCAAAGCAAGATAAAAATGCCAGAGTGATGCCCTTTCATGTATGGCTGCTTTCGTTAGCCAGGCAGCCAATCTGGAAGATGGCGGCTAACGCCTTCAATATTCAAAAGGTCATCCTTTCTCAACATTTCAGAACAAACAGAGAGATAGAAGGATGAGGGACTCCCTATTTGGTAAGGTTTTAGACAGAGATTAACCATTGGCTACTGTGTGGCCTGGTGATAGAAGCTGGATTTACTCTGATTCCTGCCTCAGCAGTCCCGATACAGGATTTAAGATTCAGAGCACTCCTATAATGAGGAGCCTCAGAACTCCTGAAGCAAGTATGAGAAAGACATAATTCAGAGGCGGGGAATGTCTTGAAATTGAGAGGTCTCAATTGAGAGGTACAGACTCTGTACCCCTTGACTTCTAGTGCAGGATCATCTGGCCAGCAAGTGACTGTTATGGCTGCTCTGGGCCAGGAAGCTCCTGGTTCTTTATGGGAACAGAAACAGGGTATCTGGACAAACCTGGAAGAAACCAATGATGGCCACCTCAGCAGCAGCAATGAATTCCATGGTTGCTGGGACATCTGTGAGTGACACGGGTTTCTGAGAAGCAGCAGAACCATCTAGAGAGGGAAGAGAGAGAGAAGCAGAAGGTGTGGGAGAGGAGGAGTTCTAAATGCTGAGGGCATCTCTACTTTTTCTCTCTATACCAAGGCCAAAGAGATGACGGTCTCTAGGGGCACTGCCATTATCCCAAAGCCTTATTGTTTTACTAACATATGGAGGGTGACCCCACCTTATGGTTTCTCTCTGAAGGACAACTCTAGATTTCTTTTTTCTCCACTGGGCAACACAGATCTTTATCCATTTTCCATTTCCTAGAAATGTTCTTTGTTTGGAGCAAAAGAACCCAGGGCACTCCCATGTTCCCTTCCCTTCCCCTAACAACATTTTCACCATATGGTCACCCAAGTGCTTTTTCTTTTACCTGATGATTCCTGAACTTCTGCAGCAACTTCTGGGGACAGTCGCCATGTGAAAAGAAATAATAGAAATAGGAATCTGGGTTGGTCAGCTTCCATTGTTCTTTTCCTGCTCCTTCTCCAAGCCCTGGACTTTGTCTTTTGGGAGACCAACTCAGGGCAGCCCGCTCCTGGTAATTGGCTGTGGTGTTGTTAGTGCTCTGGGAACTGTGCAGCTGGCTCTATGGGAACCTTCAACTTTTGAGATAAAAGACCAAGTTCTGTGACAGGATCTCAGAACATAACCAACCAGAAGAAAGTGGAGTCTGTTCATATGGATTAAAAAAAAAAAAGGGAAATATTTGCAGGCATTGATCTAAGCACTAGGGATACAAAGGTAAGTATGATCCAATCCAGCCTTTCCCAGCTTAGACTGTTAGTGTGAGAGATGGACAAGTGGATCATTTAAATATAAAACAAGACGTGACTGAAAAATTGAGAAACCCATAGGATACTATGAGAATACAGACTTAAGGACATTTAGGACAGTGGTGGGGTTTAGTGAAGGTTTTCTTCCTACAGCGGATGTGTAAGCAAAGTCCTCTATAAATAGGCTGTTGTCAGACAACAAAGGTGGACTGAGAGTTTTGTGTAAAGAGCCAAAAACGGAGATGAAAACGTAATGTGTGAGAGAATTATTAGTAATTGAATTTAGGCCAGATTGTAAGGGGCATTATATAATAAGTATAGGATCTTATTCTTTAGGTGATGGGATTACGCTGAAAAATCATAAGCAGGAAAGAGGTGGTGTCTGATTTGGCCCACAGGTGCCCTTGGATATCCAAGATGGGATTTCCGTAGGCCTTGGGTTACAGAGGTCTCAAGCTCGGGAGAAATTTCCATGTTGAACTATTACAAGGTGAAATAACTCAAGATTTCTACTACTCATATTCTGAATATCCGCTGCTTATTGCACTGGAACAGGGAGACCAAACTGTTCCCAGTGATGTAAATACCTTTTCTCCTGTGTCCAGCCCATATGCCCTCTGAGGAAACTCACAAAGGTAAACAATTTAGTTATCATATTTGTTCGAAGGAAGAAAGCAGGGAAATGAGGGTCTCAGTCAGATCATATAATTGTTTTATTTACTCTCTTGTGCTGTTTACAGTCTCCCAGAAAAAGAAGAACCTCCACTGGTGGGGAACGTGATTAGGGACCTTCACTGAGCCAGCAGCAACCACCGAAGAATCCAGGGGTGGGAATGAGCTACTGTAACCCAAGGCAAAAGGACTGTTAATGATGGTTTGCCTATTTCCTGGCCTCTAGCTGCTCCCATGGGAAACGTAGAAGGAAATATTAAATGACTAGGTATTGAAATGAAGAATTTTGAAGAACTGGCCTTAATGGGGGCCCAGAAGGAATGGGCGGGATTAAAGCCTGGGTTTTAAGCTTCTTGTGCTAGGGAACACTTTGAGAAACATTGCAGGATAAGATGTGTTGGTAATAGAATGTGGGGCGCATTGGGGAAGGGATCCAGCTGTGAACAGGGAGGAGGGCCAGGGTGGTGAACGTGACTGAGAGGGTACTTCTGGATGGCGAGGTAGGGAAAGGGATGGGTGGATGTGCTCATTCTGTCCACTCCTTCTTAATGGACAGGTTCCACTCCCAGGTAAGGTGGTCGTGCTTGTCATCGTCGGTGAAGAAGGACTTGTTGTGGTAAGTGCCTCGGGCCAGCATGCCCTTGGGAGCCTCCTCAGTTGGAGTCAGGAACTCATACTCCTCTGGCCGAGGCCCGTAGCTGCCAACCATAAATGTTGCTTTGTCCACTAGGAAGAAAGACAAGTTCATTAGGGTAAGCGTCTGACAGAGGAAAAGCAAACACAGAAAACTGGAAAATTTGGAGCACAGCCTACAGTGACCAAAACCAAAAGCCATAGTTTCCAAACCGGGCTAAACAACAGATTTACCTGGGCATCTTTTTTTTTTTTTTTTTTTTTGCCTTTAAAATATATATATATATATGTATATATGTATATATATACACACACATATACACACACACGTGTGTGTGTGTGTGTGTGTGTATTTTATTGGCGTGCCTTTTAATAATACAGTTTCGCTCTCAGAAACTATGGATCAGTAATCTGCTATGGGCAGTGTCAAGAATCAGTGTTTTTATTTTATTTTGTTATTTATTTATTTATGATTTTATTTATTTATTTGAGAGACAGAGTGTGAGCAAGAAAGAGCATAAGCAACGGGAGGGTCAGGGGGAGAGGGAGATGCAGACTCCTCGCTGAGCAGGGAGCCCAATACAGGGGCTCCATCCCAGGACCCCAGGGGTCATGACGTGAGCTAAAAGCAGGAGCTTCACCAACTGGGCCACCAGGTGCCTCAAGAATCAGTGCTTTTAGGAAGCCTCACAGCTGTTGCTATCAGGAAAGTCGGGAAATTAGCACCTTAAGTCTATGGAGATCAAGACTCTTCTTTTATGGAGCTATAGCAGGTTATACCATTAAAAAAATTCCTCATTGGGGTGCCTGGGTGGCTTAGTGGGTTAAAGCCTCTGCTTTCGGCTCGGGTCATGATCCCAGAGTCCTGGAATCGAGCCCCGCATCGGGTTCTCTGCTCAGCGGGGAGCCTGCTTCCTCCTCTCTCTCTGCCTGCCTCTCTGCCTACTTGTGAACTCTGTCTGTCAGGTAAATGGATAAAATCTTTAAAAAAAAAAAATTCCTCATTATGAGCACCTGGGTGGCTCAGTCGTTAGGCTTTTGTCTTTCGCTCAGGTCATGATTCCAGGGTTCTGGGATCCAGGTCCATGTTGGGCTCCCAGCTCAGCAGGAAGCCTACTTCCCTCTCTCCCACTCCCCCTGCTTTTGTTTCCTCTCTCTCTCTGTTAAATAAATAAAAATCTTGTTTAAAAATCCCTCATTAATTGAGACCCGAGTTCTGGTCTCATCTCTGCAACCACTTACATCAATATGACATTTCTGGGCCTCTGTTTCTTTCTCTATATAATGAACGTTAAGGACTTCCTACCTATAAACTATCATTCTATGAACATATCCGTTGCGGAGGTGGGGTAACAGCCGGTGATCAGAATGAACAGAAATCATGGATGGAAGAATTGCATAGAAAGGGAAAATCAATAATTTGGTTAAAAAAAAGGTGAAAAACTGGGACAAATGTTGGAAATAGCCAACCAAAGTTATTAATAGGTGAATAACTGGGACATATATTAAGAAACAGAGGGCATTAGAAAGTATAACTGAAGGTAGGCAGGAGGAGAGGCAGGCAGGCAATGTGTAGTTGGCTGTTAAATATTGTGAGTAAGTTTGGAGGAACAGCTACAGACATATCATTATCCTCTTGACTAAGTGAGGCAGCATAATCTCTATACCCAAAGGAAAACAGGAAACTGAACTGTTTTTTCAATGAGACTTGGTCCTGGAAAGACAGGTTAGGATCTTACAGGTCAACAACCTTCTGTGGGATTTGAGTAATTGAGTGGTTGCCCAAGTCATGCAGATTTGTCCAACAATATCCCCTCAAACCCTTTGTTTATTAATTTGGGGGAACTGACCTATGCCTTACTGTTTCCCAACCCTGGAAGAAGAGAGCCCCCAAGGTCAAAGGGAAATGTACCAGTACTTCCATCACCTTTCCAAGTTTCATTTCACCCTGCCCGTAGCATCGGAAGGAAACTGAAGGCAGTTCCCCAAGGCACATACAGTTTAGGACAACTTGTCAAGGGCAACTAAAGACCAGATAATGCTGTGTTATGTCTCTGTCATAGCTTTTCTTAATTCTAGAAAGAATTCTGTTTCTTTGTTTTAAAAATTTAAAAATTTAAAAAAATTAAAAATTTTAAAAATTAAAAGCTCCTTGCTCCCCCATCCTCACTCCACACCTGCCCACATGCTACTTCCAACTCTTATTCCCAAAAAACACACACACCACTGTATAGAACCATAGAAACTTCCAGTCTTGGATTTTGCTGACCCTTAGGTTTATACCTCTGAACTACTTTTTTTTTTTTTTTTTTAACTTTGGAGAGTTTTTTTTAATATTTTTCATTTTTTTCCAAATTTATCTTGGTTACTCTTCCCCTTTGTGAATAATAAATCACAGAGGCCTAAGGCTAAAAGTTAGTGGTTGACCCAGTGTAAACTAGATCTCTGAATGTAGGACTTGCCATTAGTGTCTAGACAGAAGTATATGTGTGCTGTTTCCTAGGGGGAGAATCCAAAGCTTTTTGTCAGGTTCTTAAATGAGTCTGTGACTAAAATTGTTAAAAAGAAGAATTTTAAGTATCAGTGGGGGACAGAGTTTGGGACAGTGTGAAGTATGGGTCCCTTACCTTTCACCCCAGTCCGGTAGGTATGCTGAACATATTTCAGACCCGACACAATATCCCTGTTCACCTGTAGGTGGGAAGGATCCAAGCAATTCAGATTAAAAACGGTCTCTCATTTCTCCCTTTTCTTTCATGCTTATCCTATCTAGCTGAGTCTTCTTTGAGGATGAAAGAAGGTTAAGATTTAGTTCAGAGTAAGTGTTACTATTATCATTTAGTGTGGACAGCGAAACAGAGATTGGAGAGAGGAGGTCCCAAGAGTCAACATTGCCAACCAATGATTAAATCGACAATTTAATCATCGAATACTGTGCTGTTTGCTTGGGGGGAAGGGGGTGCTTAAATAAAACACTGTCTCGATATTCTTCATTACAATTCTCCTTCCTCTAAAGGTCCAAAGAATGGTCTTGAGCCTCCCCTTCCCAATACTACTGGCCAGAACACCGTCCTTATCTTAGGAAAAGCTACAAAGGTACCAATGGAAAATGTTCTGTGAGCATCCAAAAGCCCTAACCTCAGAAATGATCCACCTAGCATGAAAAACAAACAACAAGGAGCAAAGCTGTAATGGAAAATCATGTCTAGAGGAGGGTTGTGCCCTTAATGTTGCTGAGATTGGAGTCTAAAGATGAAGAGTTTCTGCCCCACAGAAACATCCTCCCTGCAAATAAATAATGGGTGAAATCCACTTGTGTCTGGCAAGCATTTTGGATGGCTGTTCTTTACAGATGTTTTCTGAGATGTCACCACTTCCCCAAGCCTTTCAAAGAAAGGTCACTAAAGCAGGATGAAAATATACACAGCCAAAGCACTTTGTTTTTCCATGATTCATTGTACCTAGGACTGAACTGGTTGTCCATTAATTTTATACAGTGCTCGCGTTTATACAAACAAAGTGGACATTGTGTCAGTAGGTGGGGAGCCTGGTGAATTGTTCGCCAAGATGAAGAATGAAAACATCTTTAAATAATTTCTCCCCATGGTAATTATGGCTGCCTTTTTGTCTTGGACAGAGTAATTAAACTGATTTATCAGTGCTATATTTCGTTGTGTTGGCGATAAAGTGGCACAGCAGTGAGCACGGCTAGCTTAGGTTTGAGACTGTCACTCCATAGAATCTATGGTACGAATCTTTCAAAAGCAGAATGAAAATAGCTTCATTGAAGAAATGGTGCTAAAAATGACACCCAAACTTTTTGGGTGTCAGAACACATCCTAAAATCCTCTTGCATCTGCCAGATGTGGCTCATGCCTATAGAAAAAAGTGAATGCATTTTTCTAGAAGTCTCTAAGCTCTTCCTTTGGGCCTCATGGGAGATGTGGTCTGGTAGCAAAAAGTCTGAAAAACGGGAATGGTGATTGCTACTCAGCGATAAGGACTTCAAATCAGAGTCCGCTGTTTTTCTGCTGTTGCATAGAGGGATTTATTTATTTATTTATTTATTTATTTATAGAATTGGGAGGGGCAGAGGGAGAGGGAAAGAATCTTTTTTTTTTAATTATGTTATGTTAGTCACCATACAGTCCATCATTAGTTTTTGATGTATTGTTCTATGATACATTGTTTGTGTGTAA